TCCGTCCTCGGAGGCTTGTCGTTTGCTGCGGATCTGATGAGAGCCTCGACGTGGAGTTTCCATGCTTTCCACTGGTCTTGGGGGAGTCCACAATGAACCGACTACAACAAGCCTCCCTAAGACCGGAGGACTCTCCTGGAGTCCTGTTGTAGTAGCAACCCCATGGACTACAACAACTCTCCTGGAGTCCTCTCTAACCTGCAAACCTGCCATGATCCCCCAGGAGAGTTCGCATGAGTAAAGGACCTTCTGACCTTCTTTTCATTGCCGCATGGCAGCCGCACGGTTTTGGCGAGTCCGAGGGTATCGCCCAGATCGGCACCGGTGGAGGAAACGGGTGTTCTTCGTTACCGGGGCACTGAGATCTCAGCACGGGGGGGAGGAAGGTGACAGCCGATGTTCTGGGTCTGAAGAGGTGTCAGTTGGGAGACCCAGGTCAAGGTGCAGATTTCGGGTCCATAACCCTGACACCATCATGAGGCGGTCTCCACCCTTCAGTCGCCCCAAATAGGTCCTGCCATCGATCGACGGCTTCGTCGCTTCCCTGGCCGCCCCGGCCGAGGAGAATCTCTTCGGTGACGTAAACGCTGGCCTCGGGATCCATGGCCCAGTCCGTGATGAGGTGCGTACATGTGGAAAAAGAAAGATCCCCCCCAAACCAATGGGTTCCAATTCCAATGTGGCATTTGGTAGGCAAAATCCCTGTACAATTGGGTGTCCCACCATTTCGAGTCCTATAGCCCCTATGCTCTCTGCAAATCCTTTTCCACAGCTGCCTTTTGAGGCAATGAGAAATCAAACACACATGGTATTTAGCTCAAAACTCAAAACACACCAAAACAACGACAGCAATTTGTTGGGTTGGTGAAAAGTCAAGTGTGGACATCTTTTGTTGGACTTGGGTGGTTACATTGCTTTCACAATATGCTTGAAATCCAGAAAATTGTCCTAGCACATGAGTGCTTCAGGATTTCTTCCGTGAACAAATCCATGTTTCTTGCGCCCAGCTGGGCCCTCGTGATGTTTCCCTCGTGGTTTATGGACACCCACGGGTGCGGGGACTCCTTCGGGGGCGTCCTTGACAGACACCCCCGGTCCAGGCGTGCCTGGTACAGGGGGTTTTGTGCTTTGCAAACCTTTTGCTTGTTCAATGTGCTTTTTGAGGTCCAACCTCCAAACCCTCCCACTTGGAGTGTAAACACCTCTTCACTATGGGAGGGTTGATTCATCAGAGTCTACATCCAGGGTCCCAAAGGAGTGTCCGACGGTGCGGGTGCCCCTGTCACATCCACTCACTGGATAGGGTGGAACTGCTGGATTAGTCCCATCCAGTACGTAGTGGATTAGTCCCATCCAGTAGTAGTTCCAGATGAGACTGCTAGAACTGCTGGAACTGCTGTCTTCTTCGCGTTTCTCAGATCCTCCCCCTCACCTCGCCCCCCACGGTCGGGCGCCCCCCACGGTCAACTGGGCGAAATAGGCTCGCACCGTGCGGCCGTCGTGGTCCCAGGGCGGCTGTCCGCGGCGCGCGTCCGCGGGGCTGATGAAGCCAAACATGGGACTTCTTGATCTACTAGTAATGCCCTTGTGGTCTTAGTAAGTAGCAAATGGTTGAACTGTTGGATACCACGAGTCTTGCAAAACTCACCTGTTCCTACCTCGTCTTACGGGGTTTACGGGCACAAAGAAGGTCGATTCTGTTTTCCGGTTTTCTCTTTGGGGTTGAACAAAAATTACCTGACGACCGCGGACATATACGAGACATTGGGATCCATCATCCCAAGTAATTGCAAATTGAAAACACATATGGGTCGGTAGCACAACTCGGGAGACCTCCCAGTGAAAAACCATTCGAAGCAGGGAATAGAAAACCTGTCTACCCAGCCAGGGCCAGGGTAGCCTCACAACTTTTCCACCCACACACTCCATGTATATATATATATATATATGCATATATATATATATCATCTAGAATGGAGTATGGCATATATACCATATACATATGGAGTATGGCACACTTATATATATATATATATCATACATGGTACTTCTTGGGAAATACATCGACCGATCCATCTTTGCCAAAAGATGGGTCAACCCATGGCACGTCACAGCCCACGACGCCCTCCACCGGTGGAAAATGTAAAAACCCAAACAATCCAAAGGATGGATTCAGGGCACGGATTGGATTCAGGATTCTTTTGAGATACTGGTCCAAATGATTGTATCTTGGAGTGGTTTTACTTTTTGGTTTTGAAGTTGCCACCGGATCCATTGATTCAGGAGGAGGAACATGGCCTTTAGGAATACCCTGCAAACAGGGGGCAACCCTTCATGTTGTGATGGGTCACTGTATCTTAATCACCATGGATGTACTTCAGCGCCATGTAGGGCAGCTGCGAGAAGACCTTGAAATCCGTAATGTTTGTTTCTCGTGCAACCTCTCCACATAGTTTCAGGCTTAGATGACAGAAAGGCTTTCTCACATTCAATGCAGGAATTAAAACATTGTGTATAGTGTACTGTATACGTATGTAAATATATATATATATTCATTGTGTAGATTCTGATGGACTCTGAGAGGGTTTAGGCTACAAGCTGTACTGTACACTTGATGCATTAGCAGCTTAGCACCAACGCCGGCGGCTTGATTTCTCTCTTTCAGCCCCGATCTCTCTATCTGTCTCCATCTCCATCAATTTTTACCTCCACTGTGCATCGAATCAGATCTTTCGTGGTGGAAGGGAACCAGCGCGGACCGTGGAGCACAAAACCACATGAGTCATGCAAAAAACTGCCCAGGTTGTAGATCCGGGTCGTAGACACCAATCGCAACAACGACAGGAGAACCTTCAATGACAGGAGGACTGCTCCGCCTACTCCACAAACTCTTCCTGGAACGATATTTCACCGGCAGAGTGCCTGTGCACGTGTCCTTATATCTCATTTGTCCTAGTCTAAGTACTCGATCCTTACTTATTGGACCTACTGGCCACTAAATTGCACACAGCAACAAAATGCAAAAGGTTGTGATTAAAGCGACACGTAACAACTTGTACAGTAATTAATATGGCATATGATGGAATATGTCACTGACTGATAGCACTACCACTGGGAATTGATATGCAACCCCCTTGTCCTCACCATTACTGGAACATTTGCCAACCCAGCCAAAAACGCGGACAAAGTTTGGGCACCTGCATGTGAACATCCTCGATGATGTAAGCCCCACCTGCACCGGCTAATCACCGGTGTCTTAGTGAGCCCGGCAAATTCACTGGGTAAAAGCAATCCCTGATAGCTGGGGCTCGCTTGTCGCTCAAATGCCGTGGTGGCGGCGGCGAGAAATCCCATCGCGATCGTGGACAGCAGTTGAACAAAACGGCAATTTGTTGGTGGAAAGGACAAGTGTGGACATCTGTTGGACTTGGGTGGTTCCATGGCTTTCAGCTTTCATGCTTAAAATCCAAAGAATGGTCCCAAATGAGTGCTTCAGGATTTCTTCCGTGAACAAATCCATGTTTCTTTCGCCCAGCTGGGCCTTGGGCCCTTGTGAAGTTTTCCTTGTGCGACCAGTTGGGAAGCTGGGCGACCAGCTTCCTGCTCTGGACCCCCCACCTTTCACAGTACCATGTGACACATCCTTGGGGCAAGTCACGTATTGCAACAAGTGACCCCACACCACGCCATTGTACTGAAGCATGTACAAGGATTTGGAACATGTACGCAGTTGCTCCAAGCATTGCCAGCGTTCTGGCCTTATATATATATATACACCTAGAATCCGTTTGACCTGTGTTTTGATATGAAAAGTCATTGTTTTTAGGTATATACATATAATAAACACTGCCGCACTGGCTTGAACATCAACTTCGGCGTTCTTTCGGGATTCGGTCGACGAAGTGGGTGAACCGTGAACAAGCGCACATCTTGACGTGCTGAGCCGCTGAACTGTTCTCTCCTAGGAACAACGGCAGGTGCACATGGATGCACACGAGTCACTCATATGATTTCAAGAGCTTTAAGATCTGGGTCACTTTCACGTACCAAATTGGCCAACCATCACCTATCATGGGTGATATCATGGCATGGTGTCACCGTTTTGCCGCTTTGCCCAACCGAGTGGACATCGCAGTACTTATCACAAATGATGGACCGCATGGACCGCATTGTGCCACCGTGTTCGCCGCTCCGACCACGACGTGGAGCAACAAAACGGTAGGAATTCCGGTCCTCAACGTTTCAGCTATTTCTAGAATGTAACATATATGTATATATGGAACTGAATGTTGGGTATTTTCCATTGCCAGGGCCGGGTGAATGATGGCTGTTTCTGTTTCGGTTGCAGGCCTTTCCATCTCAACAACAGGAACTTCTGTTGTTTTCAAACGAACCACGCCTGGTCGCAGAACTTCTGGGAAAAAGAGCTCAAACCGGGCAATCTGATCCTGACCAGCACAGGTGAGCGCAGGATCAGGCCATCTTTTTTTTCGAACGAGGCATGGATGACATGGACTTGACATGGACTTGTCAGACTGAGTCCGAACTGCAGTATCCCCGATCCCTGTGAACGGTTTGAAGAGTCAGAACGAACCAAGTGAACCGTTTTTTGGCAATGTTTTTGCGACATGTCTTGCTATCTGGCAGATTCCCGCCATTCACGTTTCGATATGTTTCGATGAGATTCCGCCACAGAAATGCCTTGTGGGTCCAGAAAAAGGATGATCCTTTTCTCGCTGGCGCAATATTGGGAAATCTCTTGAGTGGACTCCAAAACCTCTGAGAGCTTGACAAAGACTCAGCATTGGCTCCATGGTAATCCAAAAGCGATTGAACATCCAAGTCTTCCTGACTTTGTAATCCACGATTCCTGGTCTTTTTTCCACATTACAAGGGCTCTTCAACTCTTCAACTCTTCCCGCTCCGCACTGGCTGAGTGCTGCTTCAAGGTTTGAGGATGCTTCCCAATGGAAAGCATCTAGCCTGGTTGATCTACCCACTCAAACCCTCGAGATTTGCAGCATTGGTAAAGTCTGAACTCCTGTCCTCGACAGCTCATGCTCGCGCACTCTTCCACCTTGCGCCCGCATCCAGAAAGGCGCCCGCACCTTGTGCCAGTGGTTGGCATCATCCACGATGAGGTCGAAGTGTTCCCAGCCCAAGCGCTGCAGCTTCCGTCGCCCGGACGCGTCTGAGGCGTTGGCCTCGGCTCCACATGTCGCACGAAGCGGCGCCGGCACAGGGGGCGGTCGTGACCCGGCGAGTCGAAGGAGCAGGGCCATTGGAGACCCAAAGGACTCCCTCAGACCAACATATCAGATCCTTGTCAAGCCAACCCTCATGTATATATATATATATAATATACATATACATATATATGGGTGTTGATCAAAATAAAGGTATCTGAGGCAGCTACAATCGCCGATCAACCGCGAATCAATCGCGATCCCAACGGTGTCAATCGCGGGAGAGTGCTCTCGTATGCAACACTATTTTAACAATTTTGCGCAAAGAATCGTCGACACATTGCTACATATCACAGTATTTAGAGACATGGCGTGAGCCGGGCCTTCTCAGGCGGGTTTAACAATCGCGGCACAATCGCGGATCAATCGCGAACCAATCGCGGATTTCGTCGACATTTTTTTGAGAATTGAATTGATCTGGGCTGGTAGACTTTGAACTTTGTTGTTCTGATTCTTCTTTGCTATTGGCTATCACTATATATTGAACACAGTGTCTACGCAGACCCGAATACAGTGTAAGGCTGAACTGCAACATGATTATCATGCCATATAATATTGATTTCTCCTCTCACAATGGTCGATTCTGATAATTACAACAAATGTTTGTCTCAATCGCGGACCAACCGCCGATCAACCGCGATGCAGGGTTTTACAATCGCAGATGCTGAGATACACATGCCCTTTCATAATTCTTAGATTTGCATTTACGATCGGCTCCCATATATAATATATACACATATGCTACACCCCCCCAAAAAAAAATACATTTTAGACAATTTCACTGCTTTTTGCAATGATTCGGTGAGATTTCAGAGCACAAATTGAACAGCAGACCATATTGTGGTCTTTGAGAAGAACAACATGCGCAGATGTGAATTTCAAAATGTTCAACTCAAATTGTTACATTGGACTTGCAATTCAAATTACGAATCTCTGGTGCACAAGTGTGCACGTATGATAATTGATGAATACAACTGATTATATTAGTTGTTAGTTTTTTTGTTACACTGTGACATTACATTTAAACAACTCAAATTTGGAATTTAAAATTATACATTTGTGACAGTCACATAACATTGGGTTTGCACAATTAGAACATTGACCTGCATGTTTTGTAATTGTGACTATCACAGGGTAACACATAATTCACAGAACTTTTTGTGTGCATGACAATTGATAATATCATATGTTAAGGTTGCAACTCATAGTATCATAGTGTCAAGTTGTCAAGTGTTTACAATGCACGTGTGCATATGAGATTTGATGAAAACAATTGATAATGTACATTGTTAGCCTTCTCATACCTTCAGTTGTATCTAATGCAAGTGTAAGGACGATAATTGATGAATGCAACTCTCACATTGAAGTTGAAAATCTCAATACGTGAACTGATTACTTGACAATTGTGACAATCACAAATAAACAAATATTACAATTGACAGGCTCACTTGTGATTATGACAACTTGCAATGTTGTATAAAATTGCTGCAGCTCACAATGTTATTTGTATTTGATGCATTTGTAAAATGTGAAAGTTGATTGATGCAACTGACCATGTGAGTTGTGAGTTAAGAAATTTACACTATTACACTAGGTTTGTACATCAAACATGTTGAATTAAATACTATACAACTGTGAATATTACAAAGTAACACAACAATTCACACAATTACTTGTGTACATGACAATGAACAATACTTTTGTAATCGCCGCAAGTCATACGATGACTTGTGCCAACTGCAGGTTTATGCAAGTTTCAATATGCGAGTTTATGAATGCAGCTTATTTATAAGCTGAATGTTTCACAACTGTGGCAACCACACAGCAACTTGACAATTGACAGGCTCACTGGTGTGCATGACATCTCAGTAGCATTTCTTCCTCTTCTTTTCTCTTTCATTCCCTTTCCCTCCCATTCTCTTCTCAGAGAACAGAAGAGAAGAGAAGCGAGGAGGAGAAAAGAAGAGAAGAATAGAGTTGCAATCTCACTAACTAGTATATATGTTGATCTATAAATTTACACATTGAGTTATTTTCGCACTGACTGGCATATTGAGAGTACTTCTATCAAATTCACATACTACGTTCCTGACAGGTACACGGTACACAGAAAGTCTTCGGGAACAATAGTTTCTTAAGAAATCTTAAGATTTTCCTGGAACCAAGAAACCAAGAACCCGGATTGCGCAGAAGTCTTGGGCAAAATCTTGGTTCTGATGCCTTCTTATCAGCACCAAGATTTTGCCCAAGACTTCTGTGCAATCTTGGTTCTTGGTTTCTTGGTTCCAGGGAAACCCTAAGATTTCTTAAGATTTCTGCAGATTTTTGAATAATGTTCTTGTTTGCTTTTTGTTCTCAAATATAATATTCAACTGAAATTATATATGGTACTCCCCTTTCAATTGACTGATAGATTATCGTCCCCAAACATGAAATAAATGAAATTGTCTAAAAGACAGGTTTTATTTTGGGGGGGGTGTACCACATATATATATATATATACTATATTATCTTCCCCACTATGAGGGCCGCGCCTGGTTGCAGGCCTGGCCTTTCTCTAAAATGGTGATATCCTGTAATTGTTGACCGACAATGGGAGGAACGACCCTATAGGCTTATCCATCGCCCTTGAAGACTTCAAGACAGTTTCTGTGCATGCATACATGCAGTACGCCCTGGAAGATTAACATGGAACCTGAAAACCACTTGGTCGTCGAGGAAAACTGTCTTGCAAAGGTCCATTTTCGGGGGGCTAGGATTGAAGGCAAGTCCCACTTTGGTTGGAGAAACAAAAAACAACAACACTTTCAACACATGAAATAACTTTGAATAACATCAGTATCGTTGTTCTGTGATCCATCACATACTCTGACATATCAAGAGATCAAATGAGATCTTTCTTGGATGCCTTATATAGCCTTATTAGTCCAAAAGCCAGACACCGGGCCCAGCATTCTCATATCGACACACGTCCCGATGAACTCTCCACATCGCCTCCAAGACGTAGACGTTGCCTGGCGCGGATCAGCGAAATCCCCGCGGCGCCGTTTGCAGCGCTTGCGTACATTCAATAGGACGTCACAAGAAGGAACATCATCAAACACCACGCTTCATCATGCTTCGACGTTTCCAACAAAGATTACACTCCGTGTAAAAAACATGGAAGTGGATGGCCTGGCCCCTTGGATGACCATTTTCCTGTACAAATAGGTGTTTTTTGCACTTCCATGATTATTCAAGGGAGTGTAAATGTCGTTGCTGATTGCTCCAGTAAAACCTTTTCTAGATTTGCGTCCTAGGGGAGAAACGCTATCAAGTCGTGCTGGATGGGTCTAACTTGGAAAAAAACAAACTACGGAACACAAATACGAGGGCCCCCCAAGGGGTTTCTTTCTAGCCCCAAACAAGAGATTATTCGAGGTGTCCATTTAACTACTCTGACCGTCCGGGTTTCCTTCGGGTTTCAAACGGGTCCAAACTGCGTCGCTCGAAGGAGACCATCTTTTGGCCCTTGGTGTATCGGGTGTGGACCGGGAGGGTGCCCCTCTTGGTATTTGTTGGTGTTCCACGATACAACATAACACAAGCTCCAAACTACAGAAGATCCATCATATATCCTGACTGCCCTTAGATCCCCTGCCAAGGGTTTTACTACTTTACATGGTGGTCCAGCAGTAGACCCTGAACAAAGCAAAGGGGTCAAAACAGGTCTTGAGAGTTTACCGTCAAAGCGGTCAAGATTTCCTTCTTCAGCGGCTCTAAATCAAATCAATACTCTCCTAGCATCTCCTAGCGCTTCCTATGGGTGTCCAATGGAGACCTATAAGATCTATAAGTAGTGTAGGGTTGTGCATTGACCTGTTGGAAGCAGCTGGCCAGTGATAGGGTAGATTTTCTCGGTCGTGGGCTGAAAAGAATTAAAACATCTGCCATCGGCCACCTGACTACGGGACGTTTTTATCCGTTCGGGGCCTGCAGTCCAAAGGCTGGCCAAAAAAAGCTAAGACCTTGAGACCTGGAGGCAGTGTGGCCGCCAAGCATTTGGCCTAGCCTTTTCCTATAGCCAGACTCGGCTTGGCTGAGTGAGAATAAACCTAAGGCAAAGCTGCCCAGGCCTTGGTGAGTCGCAAGGGCTGGCCACATGGGTCCTTATGGGTCCCTGGCACTCTTCTCATGTCTCAACCATCTACAGCCGCCCCGGGGAGACCGGAAAAGGTCATAGGTCGTCTTTCCATATCGTTCTCCTTGACACAAATGAAAGAGTGTTTACTGGGCTGCTGTCAAGTGTTCAATGAGATTGATTGGAGCCCCTCTTGAAGTCATACAAAATAGGGAAGGTTAGCAAGAAGACCGCCTGTGCACTTCAAGCACGACCAACATCATCGAAAAAAAACAGCATCGACATCACTGTCGCTCCATGTCCCAACTCTCTGGACTGTGCTTGTTGGCAACAGCCATCTCGGAATGTCTTGTGTTTTCTCGCTGAATGGCGACCTCTTCTTCACGGCAGTGACTGAAGACCCATCGACGGCCCTCGTGAGTCGGGCCGCATCACAGTGGCCCATCTCGGATGAGGTGTCGTCACACCGGAGTTCAGAGAGTGTCGTCACGTGATCGCATGCAGGTTGTCTCACCACCCGTTGCAGAGTGTCTCTGCCCTGACACTCCGGGTTCAGCTCAAGTTCCAGTGCTCAATTCACATGTTGACTGTAGAGCTCTCTCTCTCTCTCTCGCCCCTGACGTCCGCATAGCAAGTGAAATACAGGAAACTCTTAGGGACTTCCTCTGCCCCTGCGTTCTCTTCGACTCTTCCCCGGATCAAACCATGCTAACATGGCCGCTCTGTGTTTGGGATTTTGACCACCAAAAGTATAGAAACATCTAACATACTATCTAACATCTATATATTTATCTTGGGTCTATCCTAATACCTGTAACAGTGGATGATGATGGTAAGTAAAGGCCAAGGCCTTGTTCAAAAATAGCAAAAACTGCTTACTGACTGTTACAGGCAATAGGACAAACATGGACAAACCCATTTTCTCTGTCTATGACCCACCTTGCAAACCAAATGAACACAAACGATATTTTATCGATGTAAGAAAAAGCGCGCGGACAAACAACCGCAAATAGCTCCAAGGTAAAAACAACAACAACAACAACAACAAACAACAACAACAACAACAACAACAACAACAACAAACAACAACAACAAACAACAAACAACAACAACAACAACAACAACAACAACAACAACAACAACAACAA